TGATACAACTTTGTGTTTCTATATTTCAGATGCCAGAAGAGGAAATGGAAAGAATCGTAAGTTTTAATTTTATTCTAACGTGAATAGCACTTGATTTCATTGAAATAATAAGAATTGAAAACATTCACAATGTATCAGTACCTTTTGAATTTAATTGCAGTTGGAAAATTTAAACAATTATTATTGTTAATATATGCTGACTAATATTTTTATGAATATACTTTGTATCGATCTTGTTCGGGATTAGTCCGAAGAAATAATTCACATTTTGATCTGACAACTCAGATTATTCATGCATAACGTTTTTCCACACATTTTGAACAATGTCAACTATAGTCGGCGGTCCACTCTTAAAAACCAATCCCAGGCTAAACTAGATATAATGCTAGTATAAATACAATTTCAAGGAGCATTGCTTGTACAAAATTATCTTAAATACTAACTTATATTAAATATTGAAAAAATATTTTCACTTATCCAATGGCCAAATAGATTTCCAGATTTTTGTTTATGATTAAAAAACGACCAATGAAAATTATGCTTATATTCAATTATTTCCTGTAGCTGTTACAGAAAGGTAAACTGACTTCTGAGAGCCTTAAGCCGGATAAAAAACTTTATCATTTTGTTTGAAAAAAGAAATCAGTTTTATAGACAATAACAACAAATATGAAGGCTGTTCGATATATTCGAGGAATTTTGTTATTATTTAATGTTCATATATTTTCTCTTTTCATGACAGTTTTTATGTTTTTAGGTAATACTTAATACATAGTGTGAAGATAAAATAATGGTCAACACATATCCAATGAAAACTCTTCTTATATTCAATTCTTTCTTGTAACTTTTGCCGAAAGGCAAACTGACTTTAGAGCGCATTTGGCTGGATAACAAAACGTTATCATCTTGTTAAAAAAATATATATATTACTTCTTTAGACAACTACAACAAATATGAGGGCTGTTCGATATATTAGAGGAATTTTGTATCTATTCCATTTCCTGATATTTTCTCTTTATCTTTACAGTTATTATGTTTTTATGTAACACGTATAAAATGTGTGAAGATCAAAGAACGGTTAACAAAAGCCCAGAATACTCGTAACAATAGTAACCTATGACTTGCTTGTTACCAGGCTTCCTCTTATAGTCTTCAATTACTGAGGCAAAAACATTATTTTATTCATAAATTCACAAAATGGCTGGAGCTCAGCAGACGTTTAAGTAGCTTCATGAAGTAGTTTCCTTGAAAAGTCGTTATTATAAGATCATTCGTAGCGTAAATTGTGTTGTTTTAGTTTCGCCGGTGCTAAGCATTTTTTCCCGTTTCTTGACGTCCTTAAAAGTCAAAGAATTACGTGCAGTTGTAAAATATTTTGTTAGGCTGGACAGATAGCCCCCAGCGACTATTCTATTATCTCTATATTCTATTGTCTAACATACTAATACTAAGGTTACGACACGATAGCAAGAATAAGAGAGCGCGTTTCTATGCATATGCTAAATCTTAATTATTTAAAGTAACCTTATGCCCATTTAGGGATATATATTGTGTGAATAGGTGACAGTCAAAATTTGTTTACATTTCGACATAATTCCATTTTGTTTTATAATAAACATTGTATGAACTATATATAACTCGTGTGACCCAAAACATATTCCATAAATATCTATCATAATTTACCTTTGACGTTCAATTTATAAAACAGTCTTTACATTATACGCACATTTATAATTTATCCTAAGCATTCTCTCTCCGGCATCAACTGTTGGCCAATTACAATTATAACAGTGACTCCTTTGAAATATATAGTCAATTCAACTTAATTTGACAATGAAAAAACTGAGCAAAATGTCACTTTAATATTGATAAAACAGCATTATTATTATATTATGTCTACAATTTTCAATCATAGAGTATAACACAAGCAGCGTAAATAAGAAAACGTTTATTCATGTTATTTTCATACATATGCTCTCATCTATATATTTAAACTTAAATAGTATTAAACAGTAAGTAAAGTCTACAAGTCAAGTAATGTAATGGTTTTACTAAAATGTCAAGATAATTAATCTAGATATGTGGATTTAAATATGCGTTGCTGTAATATGATTTAATATAAAACGAATTATTTCTAACGTCACAAGAGATCCAAATTTAAAGATCAAATCAAAGGAGCATATTAATTTAATGTTTCCGGACAAGTTTATTCTACCATAATTTTGTGTTTCTTTTGTATAATATAAATAATAGAATTTGAAAATCTACTTTTATAATAGTGCATATAGATATATTCATGCAAACAATATGGAAGCTTCTAAATAAAGAATCACATTATTTTCTTAATTTCTGTCACCATCATACATTGAGAAAAAAGTAACGTAATAAGATAAGAAATGTCAGGAAATTTAAGAGTTTCGGAAGTTAAAAAAGGATTTGAAATATTGTTATAATGATATGACATTCCAAAAATAGACAAAACGTATCAGACTTATAACCTTCATACCGAAAGTATTCATTTACTAAATATTTAATAATTTAAAGAGATCTCACCAAATCTTCTATGGTATATGCTTGTATAATTATATAGAGTTGATTAAAAAAAATGGCGTTGTAAACAACATTGATAATGTATTTTACAAACCAACCTTTTTTCCAAGATGATGCTCGTTTTTAGATATCGTTTTATCATACTAATTTAGGATAACATAGTCATTTCCATTTATAATACGTTACTCTAAAATACTTTAAACATTCAAGTGGTGTATATCATAAGGCGGTTAAATGGCCACTATTATACTTCGGCTTGTTTTCTATTTTGACATACGAAAAATGGTATTCACTAACGCTGACTAATGAAGTGAATGGTATGAATAACATGTTCAAGTTTTGAAATAAATGATAGATAAGTGAAATGTAACAAACTGAATTCCAAGCTATGAACAAATTGTTTTGTATCGGATTAATTACTGTCAGTTATAAGTCAATGATGTATTTCAATTTTAAAAATTCACATATTATACGAAAGGGTTTTACCTGTTTTTAAAATGTGTCTTTTGACATCTTAACTGTGATCGTGATATGCAGGCCTCGTAACACAAGATTCCCTTTCAAATTTTATTTCATCAAAGTTTTCCAAAAGTATTCTCGTTTTTGGCACGCAAATTTATTTACTGCGCAGCCACATACTGTGTTCTTAAGGCACTTTTCATAGTATGGTACTAACGTGACACATTAAAGGTTCACTGAACACATCTGTGGATTTCCAAATTCATATTTTTACCATTTTAATATGTTAAATAGTGAATTCTGCTTGAGTCAGTGTTATCGGAAATCCACGGTAGCTTACATATTCAGGTACAGTCAATGAACAGACTAATGTAAACAGAGATTGCAAAATTTGCAGTTATGCCGTTCTGAATGTTCTTTACGGATTTTATTCTTCTCCATATCATTGCCACATTCGTTGCTTTTGATGGAATGGTGCTTAAGTGTCACAATGAAGTTTTCAACCGCCGTAGAAATGCATCTGCGGATGCTTCCAAATTAAATGTATTACCATTTTATGTTGAATAATGAATTTCGCGTAGATCGGTACTAGTTAGAGGGTTGGATTGTAGCTTGCAATCTCCAGTACCATTCACGTACAGGTTCAATCAAATATAGCAAAACTAATTTTCTGTTTTGCCCTTTTATTTCTGTCATTTTTTAAATGTGATTTATGCTTTTTAGAGTACATAATATAAATAATCAATTTGAATGCTGGAGAAAATAAAACAGAAAAAAAAATAAAAAAAACCCATACGATTCTTGAATTGTTTTACTTTGAAAGTTTATAACACAAACTTCATTCAATAAACTGAAACTTAATCAATACTGTGTATTCTTAAACCAGAAAACTTGACCTTATTTTATTTATATTCTTATCTATCTTGATATTTTGCTTAAATGGTAATTCGTAATGATTAAATAACTGAACGACTGCAAAGAAATGATTTGTGTCATTATGTTGATTCTGTTATTCCATTTATAACATACTGAAAATCTATATCATCATATGTTTTAAAGCACATTTTAATAATTTAATGTATTAATGTGTAATAATATATTAATTATAAACGAATAATGCTTACAAGTTGTTTAAATAAATTAGCCTACTTTAATAGCTGTTCTATGAGAGACTTATAAAACAGCCTAAATGCAACCGAGTGTGCAAACTTTTCAACCTAACCGTGTCGGGCAAATTTGTTTATTTAGGAATTCCGATTTTCTTTAGAAGAAAAACGTGCGAAAAACATATAACAGCAGACAGAAAATAATTATGAAAAAATACAATAAGAGATCAAACACAAATTAAGCATTGAAAAAAAAACAACATTAATTAAAATTTTAAAAAATATTAGTTATTTAAAGCATAGTAAAAGAACGGTTAATAGATGACATTATTAAAAAGGCGTTTAATAGAAAAAAATTCTTTTGTCTGTTTTAATTTTAAATGTTGTAAGTGGATAAAGAATAACTTTCATAGAAATCGAAAGCCATATAATTTATTAGAAAATTAGAAGAACACTGTGGTATGTTTTATATGTTTTTCATGATTTGTTAATAATAAAAGTTCTACAAAGTTGTGAGCATAGTAATACGCCAGGGACCCTTGAAATAACGTTCTGCAACACAATTCACTTAATATGCAGCTTCTCATTTTGTCCTTTCCTATGGGCCCATATAATAAACACTTTGTGGCAGATAAATGATACAATCACAATGTCTCAGTGTGAAAAAAAATGTGGCTGCTTGATGTGCACTTGAACCAAGGACCCTTGGAATACCATTCAACTGATAAAGCATTGTAGCTAATAATCAAAGGTACATTTAATAAAGGTTCTATAGTGTGACATTTTTATCATACTTTTTACTCATCATCATCAACAATAATTTTTTTTTCTAGAATTAAGATAACTACCATCATTGCAGCGAGCAGCAGCATGTCTACAAACACCTTAATCAGCATCATCATCATCATCATCATCACAATAAAAAATCGTCTTCTCATCATCATCATCATCATCATCATTACAATAAAAATTCGTCTTCTCATCATCAACATAATCACCATCTTTGCAATCAACATACTTCTGCTCATCATCACCATCATCAATACAATCATCATCACAATCAACGTATTCCAACTTATCATCATTACGATAATAAATTTAATCATCATCATCATAATAACACAATTCTACTCACCTTCCCAACATCAACACAATCATCATCATCATCATCACCATCATCACAATCAACATACTTCTGTTTATCATCACCCTCATCAGCATAATCATCACAATAAACTTCTATACTATAATATACTTCTGCATATAATTGCCATAATTAACATAATCATTGTCTTAACAAAAAAATACCGCTGATCACCATCGCCATCATTAATATTATCATCATCCTCATCATCATCCTCATCATCATCCTCATCATCCTCATAATCATTAGCAGCAGCAGTAGCATCATATTATTTTCGCAACTTACCATTTTTAACATATTTCTCATTATCATCATATATATTATCATTTTTATCACCCTATGAAAGTCTTTTTCCTGAAAGAAAAACTCCCTTTAGACAACCATTTCAACCCTCTCCTTTGCCTGATTCTTCTTGGACAATATATTGACGAGAAATGCCAAGCCCGGGAAAGGAAATGTCATCACTTTCAAACCAATTTACAAGTATCCCATGTACAACAAATGTACGATACTTTTCCTGATTTTTTATCAAAAAATTATTAGATTATATATTAAAATATTTAACGTCATGCACATTTAGCTGTGTAAAAATGATAAATGAACGTTTCGTATAAAAGAAACGGAAAAAATGTTGAAGTTATGATTTACGAAACTGTATTACATACAAGGTTCTTTTACACAACGGTTCAAAGTTCTAAGCCTTTAACCAAGCAAATGTTCAGCGAGATTTCCGCGTGGAATGTTCAGCTTTTTGACCAGCGATTTGTTTTTCTATGAATTTTCGTAACAAACACCATATACTCCATCTAACCGTTGAAACACCATTTGTCTGATTCTGTTGCTTATTCTGTTATTCTATTCTTATATCTTATTTTTGTATCAATTTCGAGTGTCTTCTTTTTTCTATTTAAGAAATATAAGACACAAAGCCCAGCCAAAACTAAACTTCCGGGAGAACTCCGCGTCACGAGTTCGTTTTAGGACCGGCGATTTATTCAATCTATATATACAATTAATGTGTATGAATTCTAGTAAAAAAATCCACTTTCTCTAGCCAACCGTTAAAATACCATTTTTTTAGTTCGTTGCGAATTCTTTTCGTATAATTTTTGAAGGTCTTCTTTACAAAACAAAATATAAGAAACAAAGCCTTACCCAAGCAAAGCGTCCCATGTATCTCATTTACATGTAAATGCTACTATCATAGTTTATATTTTGTTTACCATTAGTGATGTTCTTATCCTTACCTTCAAGCGCTGGTAAATGTATGTTCGTCTGTTCATCAAAGTGACACCTTCATGCACCACAGCATATAGGCATATAGGTCCAAATTTGCATGACTATCACTTTCATGCATCGAATTTGTCACTTTAAATTTAAATTTAAAACTGTTTAAACATGTTTTAACAATGATATAATATTATATGATCTTTTCAAGATGACCCCGTTTGTTGGAAAATAATGGTATTCCCAGAAAATTGTACCGTTAGACACAGAATTAATTAAGAAAAAACCTGATATTTAGTTCCAGTATTTTTGTTACAGGGCGTATAACATTTAATACTTATTATACATTTCGTTAAATGAAAAAGATCTACATGTATTTGATTACATCATAGTTTATATATTGGTAACCATCGGTGATGTTCTAACCTTATTTTTAAGCTCTTTTGAATGTATGCTTATAATAATGAAAGTGACACATCCATGCAACACAGCGTATACCAACTAGACCAACTGAAATAATATCTCACTTTACTCATGTATCGAACCTGTCATTTTTAATTATAAATAACTTAATAATTATTATTGTTAAACTCAATTGAATACTCGAGTTGTGGGCAAAATTCACCATAGTCAGAATTAGAATTATCATCGATTTTTATCCCTGATAAAACACAATTATAAAAATACGCATAATCTCTATCACCTTTAGATTTATAACTATCTTAAATTCAATGAATCAAATATTTTCAACTTCTAGATTTATTAAATAAATATTTATTGGAAATATAAAAACAGAATCATATGTTTTTATAAGGATCGGACGCCTGTTGTAATATTTTAACGCTCCTGTAAAATATTTGTTCAAGACATTCCCATATAATTTTTGAAAAAAGAAATCCGCATAAAAGATACCATCAGATTCAGAATTTATTAAAAAAGGATATTAATGTCAATTTATTTGGTGTGTAAATAAACCCGTGCGTGTGATTAGCACGACACTCATCTCAACCGTGTTGTTATTGTGCCGTCTCTTAAAAATCCATGCGTTGTAACATTACCACGCGTGTGATAATTACGCGACACCGGATACAACACTGTTGTTATTGATAATTGATATAGTTTTCAAGAAGACTAGTAGTGCATGTATAAAATAGTCTGAGATCTCTAACATTGATGTCATTTTGCAAAAAGGATACACGAAACAGAAAGTTTAAATGATCTCATAATTATATTAATGTAAACTTAAGATGTGAAAAGAATTATTCTCTATCTAATATATCAACGACCAAGTCTCAAGAGATGATATTAGCATGGATAAACGAAGTAACTTAGTTCTTATTTATAAAGTTTTAACACTAACACTGAATTACGACGATAGTCTGATAAAAGTGATAAGCCTCCGGACCAAAGTACAAAGTAAAACAATACCATCAGACAATAGATTCTCGAATTGCAAGTTCAGACTTTAGTTTCGAATATAAAACAAAATGAATTTCATAATTATGAAACATTACGCTCTTCATTTCTAATAGTCATTGTAAAATATAGATTAGTATCAATTGAATTGACTTCATGTGTTATTGAAGACGACATGTGGGTTTGAAATAAAAGATAAGAATATTTATGTAACTTAACTATATATTTATGGTAAACACATGCTTCTAAAATAAAATGTTAAAAAAGTGTCATTTATTTGTAACAATACCAATAGTTAAAAGTAATAGCCACCCTTTTAGCTAAAGATGAAGCGCATTGGATTAGTAATCCAGGGTTGCTGTTTCGATCCTCGGGCGAGGCAAAATTTCTCCGAAAAAAATGTAAAAAAAAAAAAACAGAGCCAGGGGAAATAACTGACACCAATAATTAAAAAGCTACACTACAGTGTCTGTGTACTACATTTACTCAGTGAGATTTAACATATAATATTTTATAGTTTTAGGATTATCAGTTCTATAATCCAGCCAGTTTAATGTTTGGGCTATGACTCTTATTTTTAAAGCAAGTCACATATAATGGAAAATTATATGTTTGACTGTTTTTTGATAAATTCACCGTAGGGAACGTGAAACGGTATCACACTTCTTGCTAACAGTTTAGACAAGATGGTGGTCCATTCACCTTTAAAATTCCTCAACAATGTAACAAAAATACTAAGAGCTTTGCTAGTTATCCTATTGCTGTCATGAGGTCTCCTATCAAAGTTGTAGATATAGCATTTCATATCTTTTAATTTGTTTTAAAGATACAAGGGATACATGTTTATGTTTTTGAACCAAACTGTACTTTATTGAGACTGCATGGTAAATGGGATTCTACATTAATGAATGCAACCGAGTTTTTGATTGAAGTTGTAGCCAAAATAGTACTCAAATGTTAAAATGTACTGCAAAGTAACAAGGGATGAGCTTCATGTGATTCACATTAAAAGTGTGACGATCTATTATGAAACAAACATGTCTCTTACATATCTTCATGATTTGTCTTTAAATCAGAGTTTTACAGTCGATACGGAAATCAACTTTTCACACATATTATTACAAATTACGTACACAATGTTGTGGGCTAGATACATTTAATTCTTTCAAGGACAGTCCATAATTAGGCTTAAATCTTTTAAGATAAGATACATTCGTGATCATCATAAGTTTACGTAATATGTATTTCCAAATTAAACTCAAAGTTTAACAAATTATCATACTATTCGTTTTAAATTATTTTGTATTTGAATGGTACAGATATTAGTCTTTTTATACTTATATGCTGATTTTTAACACAGTCAAAATCAATTTTTATCATATCTGAAAACTGATTCAAGGTCTTAGAAAATAAACGTTCATACTTTTGCAGTACTTTAAATTATGCCTGATTTTAGGAGTACTTATATAAATGATAGTTATGAAATTGATTATTAAATAAACGTAAGTTAATTTTTGCAGGACAACATATGGCAGATATGATAAAGACTAGCTCTTGTTCTATTTAGATAAGACGCTACTGATAATGCAATATTAAAACTAAATTTAATTGTGATGACATATAAGCTTAAATGATAATAGGAATGAATGAGACACTAATTAATCTTTAGTTAAAGAAAAAATTTTGTCAGAAAATTATGTTGTCAAATTCTGTAAATGTGCAACAAATAACAACTAATATCAATCAATCCTTTTGGTTAGAGGAAAATGTCTTTTTTCAACATTTTTTAAAAACTTGAATTATGGTATGTTGATACATTTTTATGATTTGTTATAGACGAATGTTTCAAATATATGAAATAGGTATGCTTATATTCTGTTTATTTCATTTAACATGACATCTTTACGCAAGCATTTTAATGTTTACTACTGCTCTTATTATAACAATAAAATAAAGGGAAAAGAAAAAAAAAACAACATAATTTCGTAATTAAGAATACCTTTCACCTGATATATAAACGACTCATTGCAAGTATGACTATATTTAGTAGATAAACATATAAGATGAATATTTGTAATGATTTAAATATATACAAAATACAAACTAACATATTTCTTACTTATTGTCGTTATATAATATGACTTTTACCAACTGGTATAGTTTTAAGTGTTATTTACATTACATGATTACAAAAATTAATAATGATAATATTTTTATAAACAACAGTATTAAAAGTTTGCTGAACAGTGGAATTCAAAGATTACATGACATTCAACATTAATATTATAGTTTTTATCTTTGTTTAATTATAAAACCCCGAAAAACAAAGTTTTCGGGGGTATACTGGTGTCACCTGTTGGTCGGTTGTTCGGTCTGTTTATCGGTTGGACGATCTGTTGCAGATTTCTTGTCCGGGAAATAATTCAGAATGTACAAGAGATATCAACTTCGCATTTTATAGGTAGATTGA